TCACTTCACCCTTCTAGGCTTTGGTGTCTTCATTCATAAAGCCAGTGTCGTTGCCTGCTGATACTGCAGTGAGCCTGAAGTTCTTCCCTAACGTTCTGAGTGCTTTCCATGGGTTAACCTTTTAAATCCTCACAGTAACCCAGTGAGGTAGGAATTTTTGTTATCCCCATTTTACAGATAAGGAAACTGAGGCACAAAGGAATTTGCACAAGGCTTATCCCTTTTTACTGGAGGAGCCAAGAGTCAAATTAAGAGCATTTGCTCCTCACTTCCGTATGTTATGGGCAGTTGTGAGGGTTAAGTAGAATAACGTCTATAAAAGTTACTACCAGTTACTGGTGAGGAATAAGCATGTATTAAGAGGCTCATTCCAGACTCTACCAGGCCATGCAGAGGCTTCCTGGGATTTGGCCCAACCCCTGCCGGCCCCTTCTCTGGTTCGCCGCACTCCAGGCACCGGCCCTTCTGTTCCTCCCGCCCCTGGCTCGCTGCACTCTGCAGCCTTTGCACGGCAGCCCCCTCTGCCTGGCTCCGTCTCGCCCCAGACCTTTGCCTGAGAAGAACCTGGTTCTTCACGTCATTCAGGTCCCTGTTAAATGGCAACTCAGAAGTCTGAGAGAGGCTGAACCTGACCTCTCGACCTAAAAGTGACCCCTTCGGTCCCTCTCTGTTCTGTCACCCAACTTCATTTTCTTTCTGCGCCCATCACGCTCACCCATTTTGTCGGTCTCATCTCCGTGACAGCAGCAACAGCATACCCCAGCACCGAGCACACGGCCTGGCATACTGGAGCTGCGCGAATCATGCCGGCCACGTGGACAGTATCATCTATTGTTTTGATGTGTGCAGCCCTGTGCCAGCCACTGGGGAGCCACTGGGGATCCCGAGGCGAATGGGACCCAGGCCCTGCCCTCAAGTGGTTCACAGGTCATTAGGATGATAAGACGTGGAGATAAATAATCATACAAGAGAAGCGTTAATGAGTGCCCAGAAGATAACAAGCGGCACTCTGAACACTTAGAGGAGGGAAGATCACATCTACCTCCAGGAGAATCTGGGAAGGTTCTGGGAAGGAAGTGACGTTTAAACTAGACCTGAAGAACAGGTTGGATTTTCAAAAAAAATGACGACAATGATGATGATGGCTAACTTTTGAGGACTTTTATTTGCTAGGTGTTGAGTAAAAACTTCCCATGGATTAACTCCCAACAACCCAATGAGGAGTGGTTATTATCCCCATTCTTCGGCTGGAAAATGAGACACAGAGGGTCTGTGTATTTGCCTGAGGTTACACAGCTAGTAGGTGGCAGAGGCAGGACTTAAACTCCAGCTATCTGAGCCCAGAGCCTGTGGTCTTCTATACTAAACACCCGGCAATGCCACAGAGCATGACGAGGCACCGTGAGAGGGTGGAGCAGTTGAAGTGTGTTCGAGGGGAGTGCTTCCCATGAGTATTTAGGGGACCATTGCAGCAGCCCCATTTAACAGATGAGTAAATAGGCCCAGAGATGATGATGCTGGTGGTAGCTAGCAATTGTTGAGCACCCACTCAATGCATTATTGTGTGTAATCTCCACAGTTCCTTTACAGATGTGGAAACCTAGGCTTAGAGAGGTTGGGACTTGCCCAAGGTCCCACAGGAGACAGATGAAGTGATTGCTGGACTGCCAGAGGCCACAGACTGTATCTGTTTTACCTAGCATGGCACCTGGTGTAAATCTGTGACTGAATCAATGAAAGCAGCAATTCATTTAATCCTCCTCCTGTAGTATTTCCTTCCTCACGGGGTCATAGTAAGGATTAAACTAGATCATTAACCTAAAACATTGAGCACAGTTTTTGGCACAAGATAAGAGCTCAGTAAGAACTAGCTGCTCCTGGGATTATGATTGTTATAACTATTATTATGATTCTACTTCCCTGTTCCCTTTCCCTGCTGCTATTTTCTCTCCATCTCCTCCCCAGGCTCAGAAGTACAGCTTTTGGAATACGAGGCCTCGGCTGCTGGCCTCATCCGATCCTTCTCCGAGCGCTTCCCAGAGGATGGGCCCAAGCTGGAGGAGGTCCTCACCCAGCTGGCCACAGCTGATGCCCGATTTTGGAGCAGCCCCAGTGAGGCCCCATCTGGCCAGGCTTGAGGAAGATTTGCGCGGCCCCTCCCGCCACTCCATCAGGCCAAGGCTGCAAGTGGCCCTGCATTTGGGTGTGTATTTAGGGGCTAGGGGAGGGGCAGGAGCTCGGACCTTGGTGCTACCTCAGCTGAGGGTGGTGACACTAACCCCTGCCATTTGTCAGCACTTTCCAATTTACCAAGTGCTTCCTCTCTGTTATCTCATTTGCTCTGTGCTGCCGTCTGTGGAGTGGGCAAAACAGGGCTCACTATCCTGTTTCCCAGATGAGGAAATGACAGTTCTGAGAAGTGACTTGTCTAGATCCTGCAGGTGGTACGTGACAGAACCAGGGCTCAAAACATTCTCACCAAATCCAATGCTCCTCATGTATTACTTTTATAACCAGAAAAATAAATATTAGAAACCACCGCCGTATTTGCGACATGTGTGATTCCTCCTTGCCTCTTTGTCTCACTTGTCATTCACTCCCGGCAGGGCGGTGGGATCGAGGCCTGGGGAGCGGATGGGAGCGCCATTTTTAGCCTCCCACCCACAGCAGGATTTGACATCTCTGAATGAGAATACAGTCTCAGAGTTGAACATGACAGTTTTACAGCCCTCCTTTGTGGCATGTCTTGCATTTAAGTACTCTGGGAACCTTAAATCTGGAAACCCCCAACGTCGGTCGGAATCCTCTGCAGTGCCCCCTCACCCTCGTGTTTTGCTTCTCTGAGCCTGGACCTCTACAGTAAGGCAGCAAGAAAGGACATGGCCCCTTTTCAACGGGATAACCGCGAAGACGAAGACAGGCGGAGTTCGTTCGGCTGCTCATAAACGCTAGAAGGGACTCCTTTCCGGACCTCGAAGCCAGAGGGCCCTGTGGCTGACCCAGGGATTGTAGGGCCCGGAACCCTGGAAAGGTGGCTCCGCCTGGGAAAGAGTAAAGAAAAATCGAATGCCAGGAAGAGTGATTGCGCCTCCGCCGGGCGGAACCCAGGAAGGAGGCCAGCACATCCCGCACGGGGCTCCGGAGCCTGGCTGGGAAAGCTTCGAGCCCGGAACCTTCGCACGCGCGCTTCCCCGCGCCCGGGCGCTATTGAGCGTTGCGCGGCGCCGGGGGCGGGGCCGGTTGCCAGGACGACGCCTGCGAAGATGGCTGCGGCGTCTTCCTCGGATTCCGACAGCGGCCGAGCTGAGAGGTGAAGGCGGGGATCCTCGAGGCCTCCTTTCCCACAGATGTAAAAAGGGTGTCTTGGTCCCCGGGCTATGGGCTCCTGCAGTTCTCGAGCAGCGCTAGCAGTTCCTGAAGGACTCTTAGAGGTCATATGGGGGAAATCGAGGCCCAAGAAGTGCATGTGTGTGTCTTGACTCGAGGTTACGTCAGTAGCGGAGCCTGTACTTGGACCCAGACGTTCTGTACCCCCAGTTCAGAGCTCCCTGTCAGACACCAGCTCCGTTTTCTTTCCCTCCTGTGGGACTCACTCCCCAACTCTCTTTCCCCCAACTCCCAGCAATGAGGCCAGTTCGAAATGGCTGGACGCACACTATGACCCAGTGGCCAACATCCACACCTTTTCCGCCTGCCTGGGTGAGTCTCTGGAACCATGAACCCTGGGTTCTGGGGGAATGGGGGAATTAGATAATGGTCCTGTAGTGAAGCCTCTGGGATTCTGAGACCCTGGTTTTGGCCCCTTTGTGTTTTCCAGTGCTGGCAGATTTGCATGGGGATGGGGAACACAAGGTAAGCATATCACCCCAGCAGAAAGAGAGTTGGGGGGACGGGGGAAGTACCCAGAAGTGAGATTTCCCAATGGCTCCAAAGAGGCTCAGCATAATCTGGAATTCACGTGTACTGTGAAAAAGCACGTTTAGTGTTAAATTTTATTTTTATGTGGAAAATGAAGAGAACTTATCAAGTTCATAATACAGACTGCAGAGAGTAAAGCAGATCAAAATGCTTCTGGGGATTCTACTAAGGCAAATCCTCTTAATTTAGTTAACGTGATTCTTTGTTGGTAGGGCAGATCCCTGGGTTGGGGCAGGCATTAGAATCTGGAGGGAAAGTAAAAGGGAGGGAAGTGAGAGTTTTTATGTTTATCAGAAGGGCATAGATTTTAAGATTGGCCACGAGCTGATAATTGTTGAAGCTGGATAACGTGTATATAGGGATTCATTATGTGAGTCTCTGCTTTTGTATATGATCGAAAATTTTCCATAATAAAGAGGTTAAAATTTAATTTTAAATAGATAAATGAAAATATAAATAAAGAAATAAATTTTAAAAGGCACACATTTTTAAAAGGTTGAGAAATATATTGGGATAAAGGAAAGTAAATTAATATGTATTGAGTATTTCTGGACCAGACCTTCTGTGAGGCACTTTTTTTTTTTTTTTTTTTTTTGAGACAGAGTCTCGCTTTGTTGCCCGGGCTAGAGTGAGTGCCGTGGCGTCAGCCTAGCTCACAGCAACCTCAAACTCCTGGGCTCAAGTGATCCTTCTGCCTCAGCCTCCCGAGTAGCTGGGACCACAGGCATGCGCCACCATGCCTGGCTAATTTTTTCTATATATGTATATTTTTAGTTGTCCTGATAATTTCTTTCTATTTTTTTTAGTAGAGACGGGGTCTCGCTCTTGCTCAGGCTGGTCTCGAACTCCTGAGCTCAAACCATCCGTCCGCCTCAGCCTCCCAGAGTGCTAGGATTACAGGCGTGAGCCACCGCGCCCGGCCTGTGAGGCACTTTCATATACACAGATATTGTTTATTCCCATTTCGTTAGAGGGAAAATAGTTTCAGAGTGGCTAAGTGTGCTGAATTTGTCAGTGGCAGACCTGGTTTGATTCTAAATCCTGTGCTTTTTCCACCATAGGTCAGCCCTCACCATAGTCAGTGACCCCACAATGGGTGTTTTATGTGGGCAGCTAGACAATAGTCCTGGAATCTTACCCCACACAGAGAGTACAGTAGGACTCGGTGGTTTTTGTCCCCAAATTCCTGTCCATAATGCATTCAATAATTCAGCATATAGTTAGAAATGCATAGTGAGTCCCTACTTTGTGTCAGGCATTGTAGGGACTCTAAACTCAGAAATGAATCAGCACATAGTCGGGAAGAGACACGTTGTTAATTCATCCATGATATTGATTGAACATCTAGTTTGTGTTTGTTGCTGGGTTTACAGCAGTGAGGGGTGGAGAAACCACAGACACAGTAATTAAGATGAAATGTTAAATGTCTTCACGTAATAGTGTGTTTAATGGCTCGTTTGTTCACCATTGATTCCCAGCATGTAGCCCAGTACCTGGCACAAAGTAGCTACTTGATGAATATTTGCGGGGTAAGTGAGTGAGTGGATGCTAAGGTAGAATATGTAGAAAGTATTATGGGAGCTCCAGTGAGAGAACAATTAATTCTGAATATCTGGAGGCACCAGGAGGCAGTAACAGGTAAACGGGGCATTGATACAAATGAAAGTGTATCAAGAAGGCAAGGAAGAGAGGATGGGGAAGGTATTCCAGGTAGAAGAAACAGCACAAACAGAGGCCTAGAGGCTTAGAAGTTCATAGCATATTCGGAAAGAATAGATGCGGAGTTAAAAAGTTGAGCCCAGTATAAAATGGTAGTAAAGACCACTTGTGTTAGGTTTGGACAGACCTAGGCTCCAGTCCCAGCTCTCCCACTTAATAGCTATGCGACTTTTACTTCACATCTCTAAGACGCAGCTTCCTCATTCGGGAAATAGGGCTAATAATAGTACCTACCTCACAAGGTTGTTGAGAGGGTTGAACGAAAGCATGTGGTAGTTTCTGATGTCGTCCCTGCCACTTAGTGCATGCTCAGTACCCGTATGCTCTTGGGCACCCCCATTCTGGCTGGAACACAGCAATGGGAAGGTGATAGGAAACAAATTGGGAACCAGACCAGAGGGGCATTACAGGCCTCACTCAGAATGGACTTGCATGGCAGCCACAGCAGCTTGAAGGATGGGCTGGAAGGTGGAAAACCAAGAGGCCAAGGAGTTTGGTTCTCTTCTCTGTGTCCACGGAGCACATCCTGCCCTGCATTTGGAAACCAGGCCTTAGAAGCTCAGATATATCTGTCCCCATCCCTCCCCTACTGACCTCAGCCACTGTCCCGGTGTCTAGAACAGTGCCTGGCAGTAAGAAATGTTTGTCGAATGAATAACAAAAACATTAGCTGCCACCTACTCCTCACTAGCACTCACCAAGTTCTATAATTCATTATCTCATTTGATTTTCACCACGAGTGTCATGACATAGGTATTTCCATTTTGTAAGTGAGAAAACTGAGGCTCAGAAATGTTAATCAAAAAAAAAAAAAAAGAAAGAAATGTTAATCAACTTTCCCAAGGTCACACAGCTTGTAAACCTTAGGGCAAAGCCTTTATTGGTGTGGGAATGAACCAATGTACACCAGCAAAAAGACTGAGCCCAAGAAGAGGGTCAGTGGAGTGGATTTTAGACCCTGAGCCTGGAATGAGCCATCCTCTTCCTACAGCTGGTGGTGGGGGACCTCGGCCCAGGTGGGCAGCAGCCCCGCCTGAAGGTGCTCAAAGGACCAAGGGTGCTGACCGAAAGCCCGCTACCTGCCCTGCCAGCCGCTGCTGCAACCTTCCTCATGGAGCAACACGAGCCCCAGGCTCCCGCTCTGGCACTTGCTTCAGGCCCTTGTGTCTACGTGTATAAGAATCTTAGACCCTACTTCAAGTTCAGCCTACCCCAGTTGCCTCCAAACCCTCTGGAACAAGACGTTTGGCATCAGGCCAAGGAGGTAAACAACGTGGGGCTGGGAACCAGAAGGCAAAAGATGAGAGCCACTGTGTGAGGAGGGCTGGGCTCCCAGGAAGAAGGCTGGGCTCCCAGGTAGGCCAGTGGCAAGGAGATCAGCCCATACCCGACAGCAGTAGTGGGTGGCACTTCTGGGCAAAGTGCTGTGCTCGGCCTCTGAGCAGTGGCTCCCAGGGGGCCAGTCAGCCAGGCCTTTTGGAGAGCAGAACCCAGAAAATTGCACTGGCCACACCCCTGTCCACCTTTGGGAGAGGTGAAACCAAAGAAGGTAGGGGCCCATCAGAGAAGGAGGACTGGAAGCAGCAAGAGAGGGAGGCTCTGGGGAGGAGTGGATAAAGGGGATGATGTGCGTGGTGCGCGGCCCCGAGGCGAGATTCAAATAAAGGGCTTCAGTGTGGGGCTCAGCACAGAGGCAGGTGGCAGGCAAGTGGAAAGGAAGAGGTGCCCCTGGACTTGAGCTCCCTGAGGGCGTGGGTGTCCTCATTCCCTGCCTGGCACAAGCTCACAGGCTCTCCCTCCTTCCCGTGCTGTCACAGGACCGGATCGACCCCTTAACCCTGAAGGAGATGCTGGAGGGCATCCGGTGAGAGCCCACCTTTCCCCAGACCCCCCCATCTCCTTCATCCGTTCTGACCCCAGGGCCCCATCCCTCAACTAAACCTGCCATGCCGGCCCCTCTCCTTGCAGGGAGAAGGCAGAGGTGCCTTTGTCGGTACAGTCACTCAGGTAAGGGCCCTGTGGGGGCCGAGGCTGCAGAAGCGGGGGGGCGGGAGGGGAGCCGCTGCAGACTGGCCTGAGGAGGCACCAGCAGATGCCCACCGTGTCCAGGTTTCTGCAGCTGGAGCTGAGTGAGATGGAGGCGTTTGTAAACCAGCACAAGTCCAAGTCCATCAAGCGGCAGGTAATGTCCCCTTCTCTTTTTATTTCCTTGTAAAAAATACTTACTTTTTGTTAAAGGGCACTTAACATAAGGGGTAAATTCTACAACCAAACCTGAGCAGTTTCACTTTGCTGTTTCCCTGCCAGCCCTGCCCCGTGTATATCGTCACCAAGCTCAGTGGCTTCTCCACTTCCAGTCAACAGCTTTTAATATCGAGCTGTAAAACATTATATAGCTTGCATGTAACTTTTATTTTCTTGGTGGTAAAGATAACACATTTTTATTACAGAAATTTTAGAAAATAAAGAAAAGTATAAAGGAGAAATATTATATAAACGACTATAATTTCACTACCTAGAGATACCCATTCTTACCATTTTTGTATATTGTCTTCATAAATACACTTTTAAATCCTGCTTCCCTTGAGTATCTAATGTATTTTGAGCATTAAATAGTCTCTAAGAACTCCATTTTTATGGAATTGTTCTGGGTGTCAAAAAAGGAGCTCATCAGTGCTGTTGATGCAATAAAAACCTCTGTACATAAATCTTCTGTCACATCTCTGATACTTCCTCTTCCTTTGCCCTCTTCCCTCCTGTGGCATCTTGGGGACTTCTGGGGGGATGGTGAGTGGGGGTTCCCAGGGTGACCCCCGGAGTCCTTCTGTAGACAGTCATCACTACCATGACCACCTTGAAGAAGAACCTGGCTGATGAGGATGCTGTGTCCTGCCTGGTGCTGGGCAGTGAGAACAAGGAGCTCCTGGTGCTTGACCCTGAGGCCTTCACCATTTTGGCCAAGGTCAGTGTTGAGTCTGGGCCTGAGCGCACCCAAGGCCCAGGCTGCATTCCTTCCCCACACTCCCCAGTTAGTTCTTGGTAATACACATTCATTGAAGAAAAATTAGAAACTGTAGATAAAGATAAAGATATAAATATCCAAAACTCCCACCACCTACAGATATCTCCTATTAAAGTTTTGGTGTACAATATCCATAATAGAGATGCACCATGACTTCGTTACCCAGTCCCCCGTTGTTGTTCAAGTTGTTTTCCATTTTTCACTACTATTATAATAACACCACCACTGTAGAATTCCTTGCCCAAGTGTATTTGCGTGCTTGTTTCAATGCTTCCTTAGGACGCAGTCCTAGAAGTGGCGTAGTTTAGTCAAAGGTACAGACTAAAAGGCTCTTGCTGCATGTTGACGAGATCCCCCCCCCAAAAAATTGTATGAGTTTATACCGTGACCAACAGGGTGTGAGTGAGAAGACTGGGACTGTAGACAGGAAACTAACTCACAGATGTTACTTCAGGAGCGGGAGGGACGGGGACTCCAGAGAAATCGGGATATTTGAGCCTCTTCTTTGCAGATGAGCCTTCCCAGCGTCCCTGTCTTCCTGGAGGCTTCCGGCCAGTTTGATGTCGAGTTCCGGCTTGCCGCTGCCTGCCGCAATGGGAATATCTATATATTGAGAAGGTAGCCACGTCCGTGGTCTCTGGGGCCTGAAGGAACAGCTCAGAAAGCTAGTGGGGTCAGGGGCTTGCAAGATGAGCAGGGGCTTTGGTTCTGGATTTGGGAATGGGAAGAGCTGAGAGCTTCGTAAAGGATCCTGCGCCCATGAGCACGAGGGGACATCCGGAGGCTTGTGAGAGGGGCTGGCAAAGTGAGGGACCAGGCTGGGTGGCTGTAGTAGGGGCGCAACGCAGTCAGAAATGGGAGGGGATAAAACAGTCTCCTGTATTTGTTATATTACCTTGTAGTGTACAGGACACTTCCTTACGCACTAGTTTGATATGCTGTATAACATTCATTTTTTTTAAAGTCAAGAAATATTTATTGAGCACCTACTATGCATTAAGCACTGTGCAAGGTATTGGGGATATATTGATGAATAAAATAAATGTAGCCCCTGCCCTCATGGGGAAGACAGATATTAAAGTCAGCAAACCAAGATATTATGCAAATCGGGTGAGTGCTATGGAGGAAGAATGCAGGCTTAATGGGAAAAAATAATGGAGTAAGGGTGATCAGGAATACCTGTCTGAGGACGTGGCTCGAAGGGTAAAAAGGAGCCGGTTGTTCAAAAAGTAGGAGACAGTGTTGTAGGCACCCTCAAGGTGGGAAAGACGTTGGCATGTGCTACTCAAGCTTGGTGGGCAGGGAGGAGGTGGAAAGAGATGAGGTCGAGACCAGAGTCTGCCTGCGTAGGACCTGGAGGGCATGGCAAAGATTTCCGATCTTACCTGAAGTGCAGTGGAAAATCATAGGGCTTTAATCAGAAGAATGATATAATCCACTGACATTTTACAAACTTACTCTGCTGGACAGAGGGTGGATTGGGAAGAGCCCAGACACCCACGGGAGACTCACAGTCATCAGATGGTGATGAGAAGACTGGGCTGAGCCTGGGGTCAGTGGGCAGGAAGCCCCCACTTTCTGGAGGATGGAAACTGATTGAGAGGCCATGAAACTGAAAACAGTGCATTTACCCAGGGCAGACCTTCATCCTTTTCTGATAAGTTAGCGAGCTGCCTAAGCCCACTTGCACTGGCTAGGCTGCTCTAAGGTAAACTCGCTGAAAACTGTTTTTTGGTTTTTTTTAAGGGACAGGGTCTTGCTCTGTCGCCCAGGCTGGAGTACAGTGGCCTGATCATAGCTCGCTGCAGCCTCCAACTCCTGGGCTCAGGCAATCCTCCTGCCTCAGCCTCCCAATAGCTGGGATTACAGGAATGAACCACACTGTGCCTGGCCCTGAAAACCATTAAATGCCAGGTTATCACACAGACCACCATAGTGAAAGCGGGAGGGAGACAAGGTAGGAAAACACACTTGGTAGTATCTAAAGTCACACTGCTAAGCGGTAGAGGTGGACATAATCCAGGGTCATCTGCTGTGGGGCCAGAGTTCCTCCCACGTTAGTCTGTGGGGCTTAAAAAGAGGAGGGTCAGCCAAGGAAGTGGAGAGAGGGTTTCTCTGGGGCTGGACAAGTGTGTGTTTACTCCACAGAGACTCCAAGCACCCCAAGTACTGCATCGAGCTGAGCGCCCAGCCTGTGGGGCTTGTCCGGGTACACAAGGTCCTGGTGGTGGGCAGCACTGAAGACAGCCTGCACGGCTTCACTCACAAGGTGTGGCTCCGGCAGGCACCAGCCCCCAACTCCTGTCTCCCCAGTGCCCCGGGGCAGAAGAGCCCTCTGGATTCCTCTTCCCGGCAACCCCTCTCTCCCCTCTGAGCCCTAAGCCCCCCACAGACACCGGCTGTTCCCTGCCAGGGGAAGAAGCTATGGACAGTGCAGATGCCCGCAGCCATCCTGACCATGAACCTCCTGGAGCAGCGCTCCCGGGGCCTGCAGGCCGTCATGGCTGGGCTGGCCAACGGAGAGGTCCGCATTTACCGCGACAAGGCCCTGCTCAACGTCATCCGTGCCCCGGTGAGCCCCATCTCCGCATCTGCCACTGACTCCTCCTTGCCCTGGTCCCACCCCTGGGGCATCTTAGCTGCTTCTCCTGGCCCCACACTGAGGTATTTCAGAAACCTTGGTTGAGCACCTCATGTACAAGTCACTGTACTGGGGGAGGGGGACAGGATAATGACTAAGTCCTTGTTTTCAGAGAGCTTAAGGTGACAGCCAGAGACGTAGCAAACTAAAAACCAAGGCAGACTGCAGCGCAGCAAAGTGCTGGAAAAGCACAGAGGGGCCCAGTGGGGTGGAGGTGAGATGAACGGGGATGGAACTCACAGGACACTTCACAGAACAAGTGACAATTCAACTGGGCCTCAAAACAGTTTGCCAAGTGGATAAATGGAGGAAGAACATTCCAGACAGGGACCAGCATGAACAAAGGCTGAGAGGCATGAAGTTTCTTGATTAAAGAATCCAGGTAGTTGGATGAGTTTGGACCAGAATTTTTCAAACTCTAAGTTGTGAGTCATTAAATCAATTTAGTGGATCACACCAGCAACATTTTAAAAAATAGAACAGAAAATTCAGAGTATATCACATGCGAAATGTGTATATAAATTGTCCTGAGTCACAATATAAAATTTGAAAGCCACTGGCTTGGGCCATAGGTCCTGGGAGGACAGGGTGTGTACAGTTAGGAGAAGGGACAAGAGGGGAGAGCTGACAGAAAGGCAGGTGGGAGCCAGCGTGGGAGGCCGTCAGTGTCCTGGCAAGCAGGAGAGAGGCCGTGGAGATGTGTGAGCAGTGACTAGCCGTATCTGTGGTTCTGCGAGGCAGCAGAGCGCACCTGTAGTCCAGCTAGTTGGTCGAGGCAGGAGGATCACTTGAGCCCAGGAGTTTGAGACCAGCCTGGGCAACATAGCAGGACCTCATCTCTACAAAATAATTTTAAAAGAAAGATTAGCCAGGCTTGGTGGCATGCACCTGTGGTGGGAGGCTGAGGCAGGAGGATCACTTTGAGTCCAGGAGGCTGAGGTTGCAGTGAGCTGTGATGACTCCACTGCACTCTACCTGGGGCGACAGAGTAAGACCCTGTCTCAAAAAAAAAAAAAAAGAAAGAAAGAAAGGCAGCAAAGGCAGCCCTGTGAAGGACAGGTTGGGGAGAAAGACTAGGCTAGGAGACCTGTTAGGAGGCTGACCCCAAAAGTGAGGGCCAGCGATGTTTAGTCCGGAACTGTGGCCGTGGCAGTGAGGTTGGAGGGGAGGGCAGGAGTAAAGGAAATACTGCAGAGGCAGCATTGCCCCTGGCCTCGCCTCCCATCTCCTCTATTATATCTGGGATCTCCCCCACCCTTATCTCCTGTCCTGCTTTCCTCTCCAAGCTATTTCCCCAACTAAACTCTGATGTCTCCACGTAGGACGCCGTGACCAGCCTTTGCTTTGGCCGCTATGGGCGGGAAGAGAACACCCTCATCATGACTACTCGAGGTGAGGGGAGTCAGGCCTGGCAAGGGCCGTGGAGCTGGGAGCGAGAGGACAGGGAAGGAGGAGGAGGTGGGCGTGGAGCGTGGGTGGACAGAGGTGTGGAAGCAAGGCCGACAGGCCTGCAACCTCACAGGCTGGGCCTCTGCTGGGTACATCAGCAGCAGTTTGCTGTCTCCACCCGGGGCCAGGCCCTGGGCTCGGTTGTATTTCTCTAGTTCACCCAGTCTGCCCAGTGTCTGCCACGTGCCAGGAATGTCACAGTACTCAACTGGTAGATGCTGAATGAATGAATGAATTAATGCTAGGAGGCTGGGTGCAGTGACTCACACCTATAATCCCAGTGCTTTGGGAGGCCAAGACAGGAGGATCACTTGAGGCCAGGAGTTCGAGACCAGCCTAGGCAACATGGCAAGACCCTATCTCTATAAAAACTGAAAAAATTAGCCAGGCGTGGTGGCTTGTGCCTGTAGTCCCAGCTGCTCAGGAAGCTAAGGTGGGAGGATCGCTTAAGCCTAGGAGTTCCAGGTTACAGTGATCTGTGATCATGCCACTGCACTCCAGCCTGGGTGACAGAGTAAGACCCTGACTCTAAAAATAAACTAACAAATAATTAGTCAATCAATCAAACTATTAAGACACTCCTTCTAGAAACAGTCTTGTCAGGAAGATGGACACGTACAGAAATAGGCAGATTGTCTGGGACAAAAGAATGGGAATGTGGGGAGGATAAACCTGTTCCCGTCTGTCCACTTCCCTAGGCGGTGGCCTGATTATCAAGATCCTGAAGCGTACAGCAGTGTTTGTGGAGGGGGGAGGTGAGGTGGGACCCCCACCAGCCCAGGCCACGAAACTGAATGTGCCCCGAAAGACCCGGCTTTATGTGGATCAGACGCTGCGAGAGCGGGAGGCTGCCACCGGTGAGACTCAGACTGGGTCCTTCCTCTTCTTCCTCCGCCATTACTCCCTCATAGCAAAGCTAGTGAATGCTGCCCAGCTGCCCTGGCAGGGGGAAGAGACAGCAGCTAGGCAGGTCATGTGCCTCGAAGTCCAGGGACAGCCTAGGAGGTACACGCTGCCTATAAGTAACTATTCCTCAGGGCGGAAGGTGCTGGGGGTGAGGGCAAGAGCCCTTAGAATTCAGAGGCGGGCGCAGTCACTTGCAGACACAGGAGTTTTCATGAGCAAAGTAGAATTTAACCAAGTGTTTTCTTCTCGTTCAGTTTTTCCTGCCCATTTGTTCATTCGTTCATTCATTCAATATCTGTGATGATGCCAGGCTTCGTACTGGGCGCCTTGAATTAGGCTGGTCCCTACCTTAGGCGTTCAGTCTACCTGGCCGACTTCGTGTCGTGTGACAGATGTAGAAAGGGATTCTGCAAAGAGCTCTTGGAGCACACAAGCAGAGCAAGGAACTCTGCCTGGGAAGCTAGGGAAAGGCTTCGAGAGCAAGGCAACGCTGGACTTCAGCAGTCCAGCAGACGGAGCGGGGCAGGGAGGGGCAGTGTAGGCAGAGGCTTGGGTGGAGGCACAGGGCCCTGACCGGATTCAAGCAAGCCTCTGTCAGTGGAGCTGCAGGCGCCGGCCCAGCAGGCCAGGCGGTCAGAGGGAGGGGAACGGCGGGTCAGAACCAGCTCCCGCAGGGCCGGAACACAAGGCTGAGAAGTGGGGGCATCGTCTGGGTGGTGGGCGCTGGCAAAGACGGTAAACAGCAAATACAGCAGCTCAGCCGGTTCTGCCTTACAGGGGGATTTTGGTCTCGGTTTGAAGGATAGATTAGAGGTCAGAGAAAATAGTTAGCAAGTTACCATAGCCCAGAAAATCTAAGAGAAACAGCGGGTAAACAATCCAAAAAATAATTAAGGAGTTTTGTAAGGTGATCAGATGTAAAATATTAAACAATCATAAGCTTGTGTATATACCAATAATATCCAATTGGAAAATATAATGGAAAAAGATTCCATTCACAATAGCTAGGAAATCCCTAGAAATAAATGTAGCAAGAAGATGTGCAAGGACTAATAAAATTATAAAACTATTTTCAAGAACATTAAAAACCACCTTGCAGTTTAAATGGAGAGACTTACCAGGTCCCAGGGTAAATTTGGTAAAGCTGTCAATTCTTCCAAAATTAATCTAAAAACATAGTAAAGTTAAAATCCCAATGGGATTTGTTTTAAGGACTTAAGTTGATTCAAAGAGTAAATCTAAGAAATTTGGGGGAAATAAGAGCGGGACTTACCCTACCAGATGGCAAAATGAACGGAGCTGTGGTGCTGATGCAGAAATACGAGTAGACCCGAGATGAGTGGCGTGTTCAGGAAGTCTAGAAACAGACTCTTCAATATGCAGAAAGACAGACTGTGTTCAAGGTGTCATTTGAAATTAGTGCGGAAAGGCGAGACTGTACAAAAAAACACAATTAGGACAACCTGCTTCTAGGAAAAAGAAAAAAGTCTACCACATGCCAAACACAAAAATTAATTCTGGGTAGATTAAAAATCAATTGTAGGCCAGGCACGGTGGCTCACGCCTGTAATCCTAGCATTCTGGGAGGCCAAGGCGGGCGGATTGTTTGAGCTCGGGAGTTTGAGACCAGCCTGAGCAAGAGCAAGACCCCGTCTCTACTAAAAATGGAAACATTAGCCGGGCATGGTGGCGCATGCCTGTAGTCCCAGCTACGCGGGAGGCTGAGGCAGCAGGTTCATTTGAGCCCAGGAATTTGAGGTTGCTGTGAGCTAGGCTGACACCATGGCACTCAACTCTAGCCAGGGCAACAAAGTGAGACTCTGTCTCAAAAAAAAAAAAATCAATTGTAAAGGTACTAGAGGAGAAAGGAAATGTCGGTAGGTGACATAACGTAAAGGTGTAAAACTCCTGAATGGCAAAGGCACCTCACAGCCGAGTGAAAGGGCCCGGCCCAGCTGGCTGACCAAGGACCCGCAAAGGAGGTGTGACGGACGGCGTGGGGCTGGCTCTGGAGGCAGCTTTGAGGAAGAGTCATCATCTGTTCCTGGCAGATGGTTAGACGTGAGGGGTGAACCTAGGTGACTTGAGGGACAGGGAGGCAGTGACTGAGGCAGGACAAGGAGGCTGGTTTCCGCGGCGTTGAACTTGAGGTGCTGCAGGGACGTCCAGATGGAGATGACCAGGAGGCGGTCAGAAGCAGGAGGCAGGCCTGGGCACCCGTGAGCTGCTGGGGACATCGAACACAGGCCTACCCCGAGCTAGGCACTGAGGTCTCGGGAGGGAGAAGGTCCCTGCCCTCAGGGGCCCGAAGCTGTTCTTTGGGATGGTCAGAGCTGTGGCAGGACATAGACTGTCAAGGGGAAGAAGATGGCAGATGAGAAGAGGACCAAGGGCAGGACTCGGGAACACCAGCCTTTAGTGCCGAACAGGAGCCAGGGAAGGAGGCAGATCATGCAGGCAGCGGGGTGGTAGGAAAACCAGGCAGGAGGCAGGGAGTGGTCCACGGCATCCAGTGTCGCCAGAAGGCTGGGCTGTCGGCCCCTCGGCCCTCACTTTCCCCACACTCCCAGCCTCTGCAGACCCTGCCCGCTACGCCTCCCGCTCACACCCTCCCCAGGACAGTCTGGGCAGGAGCCCTTCCCCGACACCGCTGCCTCCTTCCCTCCCCTTCCTCACTCCACCGGCAGCCTTTGTGTCCCTCCTCCTCAGCCATGCACCGGGCCTTCCAGACAGACCTCTACCTGCTGCGCCTGCGCACTGCCCGCGCCTACGTGCAGGCCCTCGAGTCCAGCCTGAGCCCCATGTCCGTGACAGCCCGGGAGCCGCTCAAGCTGCACGCTGTGGTGAGCACCCAGGTGTAGGGGAGGAGGGGCAGAGGCCAGGAGTGAGCAGGAACCCCTCTGCCACTCGGCCAAGCCCCCAGAACCAACTCTGAGCCAATTCAGCCCCGTGCTCCCTTCTGACCTTCCCACAGACCCTGGACCAAATCTCACGTCCTCCTTGTGAGAGCTGCTCTCTCCTTGCCCTCCCCTGTGGCCTCTTCCCCTGGCTGGCCATGGGCTGGGGCACGCTCTCCGGCTCCCCTGTTCTCCGTGCCTCAGACAAGCTCCCAGACTTGGGCGGGGACACGAGTAGCCACCTTGGGACATTTGTTCGCGGGAGCCTGGAGGCATCCTGTAGTGGTGCGGGGGGGAAGGCCGCTCACCTCAGTAAGCGCAGGCAGCGCCAGGGGTTGGGCTGCCTGGCGCAGGGAAGGGGCCACCCCAACCTGACCCCCGGGCACCTCCAAACGAGCACAGGCACGAGAGAGGAGGAGCCCACACACACTCAGGCACAAGTGACCTCAAGGTCAGCAGGGCTCCAGCCAGCTCTAAACGGGTCCCTGAGGTTTGTCATCTAATCCACTTGGGTTTGCAATTTCTCTTTTCCTAAAGAGAGTGGATAAGATTTAGAGGAGGAAGAGGCTACAAAGCACTCAGGGTAAGAGGGGAACTGAAAGCACCAAGGCCATCGTAGTATGGGAGACCAGGACAGGGCAGCGGCGAGGACACAGGTGGGAGTCGAGACCTGCAGTCCCAGGCCAGCTCTGCCTCTGACTTGCTGCAGGGCCTGCATCGAGCCCCTTGTCCTCCCTGGGCCTCTGCTGGCCCCCGTGGGCCTTCTGGGCTTCCGCACATTTTGAGGGACAGATGCAGTAGGAGGAGGGGACCTGAGAGTACTGGGGAGGAGCAGGCAGAGCCCAAGCCACCAGGTCCTGAGGGCTTTCTCCACCTCCTCCACAGGTCCAGGGCCTGGGCCCCACCTTTAAGCTCACGCTGCACCTGCAGAACCCCTCAACAGCTCGGCCCGCCCTGGGGCTGCTGATCTGCTTCCTGTACGACGAGGCGCTCTATGCCCTGCCCCGGGCCTTCTTCAAGGTACTGGGCCCTCCGCAGCAGGACTGGGAGCCGAAAAGGCTGGGGCAGGGGTCTGCTTAGATGCCCACAGAGCCCCCACCAGGTCAAGGTGAGGGAGTGGGCAGGTGGCAGCAGGACAGCTCTCCCGCCACAGCCAGGCTAAGGCCCCAGTAGGGGCTTCTGGAGGGAGCACCCAAGACCTGCCTCCGCTGCTTTCCTCCCAGCCTGTGAGAGGTCTTGGAGCCACACAGAAGGTGCTGGGAAAACAGCCAGAGCCTGGGTCCCACCTATACCCCTCTGAAGCCTGTTGGGGGTTGAGGGGTCCCAGAGCCCACCCTGCTTCCCAGCCACTCCTGGAACAGGAGCCTCTCTCTGCCCCAGAGGGCATCGCCCACAGAGTGAAGGACCTGGTTTCCCCCAGGGCCCAGATTTGACCTCAAGTTAGGAGGGCAGAAAACTAAGAAAGACTCTGGAATGTGAAATAATTAGCCCTGGACTTGGTAGGATTGCAGGTCTAGGTGTGATCACATGGCAGGCGGCCCTCAGCACTTACATCCCCCACTGTACCTGTGCCCTCCTGGGCCCAGCGGTCACCTGCCCACCCTGCGGGGGTGCGGAGACTTGTGGGGGACTGTGGGCCGACTGCACTTTGGAATGTACCAAACACAGTCCAGTATGCGGGCTGGTTTCTTACTTCTCTCTCTCCAAACTTAGGTCCCTTTGCTGGTGCCAGGACTCAGCTACCCCCTGGAGACCTTTGTGGAGAGTCTCGGTAACAAGGGCGTCTCAGACATTATCAAGGTGGGTCCCGCGTTGCTATGACTTGGAGGGCAGGCAGGACCCTGGGGAGGACAGTAGGGTGAGCACGGACAAGACCCTCGGAGAGCTGCTGGTGGGGTGGTGGGTATCTGCACAGTAGAGCCCTGGTGGCCTGTCTTTAGGGCCAGCACAGACCAGGCGGGGGTCAAAGGTGCATGCGCCCTGCTGCCATGGACACTCCTCCACAGGTGCTGGTGCTTCGAGAAGGCCAGAGCGCACCCCTGCTGAGTGCCCACATCAACATGCCCGTGAGTGAGGGGCTGGCAGCTGCCTGAGGCCCCAGCAGAGCCAGGAAGATCCGGTGACTTCCTCTGAACCGTGCAGCTTCAGCGCCCAGGCCAGCTCCCCCCGCGGCAGTGTGCCGAGGCAACGGCTCCCTCCCATCCTGCGCACCCCCTTTCCCACTGCGCCCGCTGGGCCTGTGGCAGTAGGCCAGTGAGCGCCCGGGAGGTTCAGCTCCTCCTCCCTCAGGAGCAGCCCAGGCATCGTCCCACTGAGCTCCTGCTGCCCCTCAACCCTCCCGGGCTTTTTCCAGAAGCCACACCCGGGTTCCAAGGAAGAGCTCTGAAGGGTCCAAGTGAGATGAGGACGGGCCTGGCCCTTCTCCTTTGCCACTTCCCGTAGGCACATCGCTCATCTCCGGCTGCAGGTCAAGGGCAAAATTGGGCTAGGGCCTGGCCTGGGAAATCAGAGGCTCTTCTTGGATGAGCCTGAGCTCCCTTCTGCTCCCTGGAGCTCCAGACTCAACTGCAGGCAAAACACGTGCTCTGATCTCCCCTCCCCGCTGAGCGGGGGCTCTTCCTTCCACTCAGCAGGCCCAGGGAATGGCTGCCTCCCCACAGGGGACTTTTCTGAAGCCTTGGGGACTCAACTCAGCCAGTCTCAGGCCGTGATGCTCCACAAAGGTTGCCAAGGGAGGAGGAGGTACGGGAAGGCAGAGGGTGCCCCGGCAGGGAGCGAGTGGCTCCAGCCCCCGCTAGAGCCCCTAAGGACCACACGGCAGCTGCCCCTGACTCAGATGCTCATGCCCGGAAAGAGCATCCCAGGAGGGGAAGGCTACACTGGACAGGGAGCAGAGGTGGCGCCAGGGGCACCCAGGAGAGGCATTTCTGGGGAGGTGACTCAGGAGGGCAAGCCCAGAACTGCCAATCAAGGTGCTCTTCTAGCGCTGGGGCCCAAATCAACCATGTGGGTGGAAAGTACACTGTGCAGTGACCACGCTGTGAGAATTAGCTGGAAAGGCACAGACCAGAGGCACGGAATGAAGTTGAGGACTAAACGAAGGCACGTGGGGCCGAGGCCCACAGCACTTGATGCCTCCTGAGCCACTTACGAGCCAGGAGCCCTGCTCCCTGAGGACCTGCATCTTCCTTTGTCCAAGCAGATGTGGCCTAGGGTGTGACACACAGCTCAGCCTTTGGGAAGTAACCAAGTCCCTCTGGGCGTCAGTCTCCCCACATGTAAAATAAGGCAGTTTGGCCAGATTGTTTCTTAAACCCTTTCGGCCCTGACACCCTGTGCTCGTGGCAGCCCCTTTGGAGGGAGCTTTGCTCCAGAGAGGTGGTGCTTGACGAGAGTAAGCGCAGGGCTTTTGACTGCCACTGTCTGTGCCCAAGACACAAGGACTAGGGTGACAGCCCACACAGCCCACCTCTCTCCCTCCCAGGGGATGTGTCTGGGGCCAGGTTAAAAGAAGCAAAGGATTGGGATCAAAGAAAGAGCCTGTCCCCCTCCTCTCTGCCCTCCCAGCCACTTGCAGACACAGACCAGTCGGGTCGCGATGGCCGAGGGTTTGCAGACCAAGCCGGCTGAGCACGGCTGGAACAGGCAGGAGTTACAACCCAGGAACGGAAAGGCGAGGGCGGAAGGCGTGGTGCTGCCAGTCAGAGACCGCAGCTTGGCCCGAGGAACTTGGAGACGAAGGGCCTGCCCTAGAAGGCGATGAGCATCTTGTCACTGGAGCTGTACGAGTGGGGGCAGGTCGTGGGTTGGGCCACGTGACATTACAGTCCCTTCACCCCAGTCAAGCTATGAACGGCATTAGCTGAGAACAAAAAGTCAGATCTGTGTTCCCTTCGTAGCTAGTCATGATGAGAGGGGGGACCATGCCCAGGACCCGTTGTGAGTTCGCATGTCACACGACTTAGCTGTTGGTAAGAAATGCAAGGCCTGCGCCATGTGGACAGCGCACAAAGCCGCACAAAGCCACACAAAGCAAGCAACCGTGCAGGGTACCCAGTGCACACGCCAGAGAGAGCGCCAGGAAGTCATGTACATTAATGATAGGGAGAGTTGGGATCTTTTAAAACAATACTTACTTAAAAATATGCACCTACTAAGTGATGTCGAATTAGATAGTTAATAACAAAACAGCCTCTCCTCATTCCCTAGCACTGCTCCCCTGCAGTAGTCACTTTCAGTTCTTTTAGCTATTTATTTTTGACATTTGCTTGTACTACTCTTGCTAGATTTATCAATCTCAGACATTATCTGTTGGCTCCCTATTGTAACAGATGAGGCTTGAGCTCTCTGTGACAGCACCGTCCCCCAGCCCCAGGTCCAGGTAAATCAGTGTTCACTGTTTAGATTACTATTTGCATTACTGTGTGAGGGCTATTCACTGCAGAGCCAAGAATTGGGCTATAATTAAATTACCTCCTTTGTACTGTTTTGTTATTCATGGAGTTAATAATTGCTCTGATTTTTTCATTTGCTTGGTTTTCTAATATGCCTATTGCTGATAGTTCCTCTTTTTTCTGGACATTTCCCTCCTCCCCTGCTTCACTGAAGACCGTGTGCTCTCAGAATTCCTTTTGCCACTCCCCTGAGCTAGGTACCCTGATTCCTCGGCCCCATGTCTTTCTCTTTCTTAGTGCACCCTCATTTGGTGAAACACATCCACAAGTACCTTTTAAAAAAGTCATTAGACAGGCTGGGCGCAGTGGCTCACACCTGTAATCCTAACACTCCGGGAGGCCGAGGTGGGCGGATCATTTGAGCTCAGGAGTTTGAGACCAGTCTGAGCAAGAGCAAGACCCTTTCTCTACTAAAAAAGAAAAAAAAATAGAAATTACTTGGACAGCTAAAAGTATATAGAAAAAATGAGCCGGGCATGGTGGCGCATGCCTGTAGTCCCAGCTACTCTGGAGGCTGAGGCAGGAGGATCACTTGAGCCCTGGAGTTTGAGGTTGCTGTGAGCTAGGCTGACGCCACGGCACTCTAGTCCAGGCAACAGAGGGAGACTCTGTCTCGAAAAGAAGAAAAAAAAGGTCATTAGACATAAAAAGATGAAACTGCTTGTCTGAA